TTGAAGCTCCTGTATTTATGATCTAGAATGCATTATTCATAAAGTGTGTTGAAGACTATGGTATTTGTGTATAGCAAAGATGTAAAGGTTTATTACCTATATTGTTAGCAAGATTGGAAGAGACCTTAGCTAAAGCATTTTACTCATTGAGAATAGCTAATAAATGCTGAATTTGATGTTGAGTGAACAATACTTATGGTTTTGTTTCTACAGCGAGCATTATCCAAAAAAGAATTATACCGATTATCTACTTTGTTAATGAATAAAGAGATACCTTCATCTCGTTTGTTTAAAGACAAAATTACCTCTTCGGAAAATAGCTTTCCCTCTAGCAAAATTAGAATTAATTGTGGAAGAAACAGACTCTTCCTTTAGCAAACCTTGGATTGTTTGGAAAACCAATCAATCGAAAACACCTATCTTTGTTGTAACCTATTTTTCCACAATGTGTGCATACAAAAGCACTCCTAGGTTTGTTTTGGAAAACGCCTCTAGCTACCATTGCTGAGGATTCTATAAAAGGCTACTTAAGTTAATACATTTATGAGATTTCTCTTTAATCACTAGATTTTACACTTCATGAGGAGAGGAAAAAGGCTTCATCATGATCACATGAAATCGTAATGTTGCATAAGACTCATTTAGACCATTTAGAAATCAAAATGCACAATCTTTTTTATAAAGATCTATATATTTTTGAAGCAATCGACATTACACTTACTATATTCACGAGTGTGACAGCGACTTATAGTTCCTTAATTCTTTACAAACCGAATTCAATTCAATGAAAAACTCATCAATACTGTGAATTCCCTAAGTAATTGAACTCAATGTGTATTGTAAGTTACACACCTTAGAATCATCTATGTATGAGAAACGTTTCTTCGATATTTTCCAAATTTCGTTGGTGAATCCATATAGAAAATAGTAGCAACAATCAAAGATGAAATTGACTTAAAAAGCCAATAGATAATGAGATTATTGCATCTCAAATATGGACCAAACAGAATATCATCTCTATCCGAAGCAATAATTGATCCATCAATAAACCCAATCTTATTGCAAATTGACAAAGCAAGCAAGAAAGAGCGACTCTAGGTAACATAATTGCTTGAAAGAAGTTGAGGAGATATAATCATAGTATCGTGATTATCGGTATGATGAAGATAGAAAGGCGATTGAGGATCTTCGATAGAGAAAATTGAAAAAGCGAGACACCATTAATGCATTGGATTTGCTTAAAAAACAACAATAATTGCTCGAATCCAAGAAGAAAAGACAGCGAAAACTAATTTTTGTTAGGCTCTAATACCATGAAAGAAGGAAAAAAAATGGGCCACTTCTTTAATTTTCAAATCAAAATTTATTTACGAAGTCCAAGCAATTTATAGTATTGCATTTCTTGAAGAGAAATCGGTAGCTACTCTATTTATGCTACAAGAAGAAAAATAAAAGTTTGTTATCTACTAACTGTCTAACTAACCACTAACCGACTAACTAATTACATAATTAACTTGTTAATGATCCGACACCCACGTGGCTTTAAATGATGCCATGTCGGACAAATAGAAGAAGTAGTAACAGAAGCAACTTCTAATAATTTAGAATTTCAACATAAAAAAAAAAAAAAAGTGGAAATGGCAGTTAGGGATGGATTTTTTCTGATTTTGTAGCATAAAAACCATTGAATTTCAAGGAATTGTCATGATAATTAAAAAATTTTATTCAATTTTTTAGTTTTTTAGATTCAGATTTCAAGATCAGCTCCTAGCTAGAGAAATTGTTCAATTCTTCTAGATACATCAAATCAATATAAGAAGTGTGCTTTTCTTATTATTATTTAGAAAAAAATCTCTTTTTTATTTGATTATGCATAAGTACTCATCCATATGAACCATATGTAAAGTCTAAAACTAAAAGGTTCACGATTCTAAAACCAAAGTAAGGTCAATGCGACTCTAAAAGGTAGGTTTGGTAGTGTAATAAACTATTTCAATTCAAAAATTTTAATTATTATAAAAATTATTTTATATTGACTTTAAGACACCTTCTCAAGTAAAATTATTGTAAGTTTTATCATACGCAAGTATCGCATTAATTGATTTAGTCACCATAGTTATTATTACTTTGGTCTGAAAGAGATTATTCCTTTAACTTTTTACATATATATTAAAAAGGTTATTACTCTCTTTATCTTAAAAAAATCTCTCTTCTTTTTTCTTTTTCTTTTTTCTTTTTTTTATTGTTCTCACAATTTAAAAATATGAATATTTTTTGTTCATACTTTTTTAAAATATAATTTTTGTTAAAATGATTAGTTATCAAATTTAATTATGCATCATATAGAACCAATATTAATTTAAAAAGAAAATCTACATCCAACCACATCCAAAAATAAAATGATAAATAAAAAATCATTAAATTAATTAACAATTAAATTTAAAATAATTATAAAAAAATATTCTACTCTTAAAATTCAAACTCATAACCTTCTCATAAAATCAAGCTATGATTAAAGTTTAACACCAAAAGAAAATAAAAAATAGAAAGCACCTTCTTCTTATTCTCTTCTTTATTCAATGGTTGATAATATATAGAAGCATCTTCTTCTTCTTCTATTAAATAAAAGCATCTTAACGAAACAACAAGAAGTCAAAATTAGCTAGGCCAGCTGTTATAGCAGACAACGAATTCAACCAAATATTCTTTAACGTATAGGCCGCTTGGGACACTAACGTACTTGTAAACTGCAGAATCCTTATTATAAAACTACTACGATCCATATATAAGCCACTTCTCTTATCAATCTGGTAGTACGATAAACCAAGTTGAAATTAAAAAATTGGATTTTGGTAGTTGGAAGGAAGGCAAAGCAAGAAAAGATAAGCATCATTAATTTGCTGACCCATCACCCATGTGCTGTTAAGAACTTAAAAAATTAAAAAATTCTGTATTCTTCACTACAAATAATCATATTTACATACCATAAGATGATATTTCGTTAATAAATAAGCATGGATTTGTAGATCTGATTTAGAGTTCAAGATCATTATAACTAGTATTTTTTAGAATTTATTTTCAGAATACTCGAGGTCATGAGTTGGGAATTACCCTTTAGCTATGTTCAAAAAATAATTAATCTCAAAATACGTAAAAATTGGATCAAGGATATCCTTACGGTTGAACATAAAAAAAAATAATAATCATATTTACATCACGATTAATTAATTATAGTAATAGTTATATCAATTTTTAATAAAAAAATATAAAACCTATATTAATTAGCATTTATGCAAAAAAAAAAAAAAAAAAACAGCTGTTTCTGTTCAAGTGTATCCAATTTATTATACAATGATTACCACCATGATTTTTCATGACACTTTATTATATATATTAACTGTGGTATTTTGCGGATTGTTAATGACTTTCTACGATTTTTAAGAAATCAATTATTCTCATTGTGTACGTTGCATCTACTTACAAATTAAACCTTAATCATCATAAATGGCATTAAATTTACAAACATCGAATCTCTATATGATCTATCATTATTAATTTCAGAGAATAAATGTCAAAGAATTGTTTAGGTGGAGTGGTTTAAATTTTCAGTTAGGAATTCTGTAAAAAAATACCACCGAAAACGAAGTTTCTGCAGTGGATTATAGCATGATTGTGTAAAATTGTTGACAACATTTAATTAATGAAAATTTACAATATAAATCATATTATCGTGTCCATCAATATATAAATTGATATTGGTAGTAAAAAAAACTAAATAATCTGTGATAAAATTCATGAACTTTATATATATATATATTCACCTTTCGAAAGTCAAATTTTGATTTTTCTTTACTATTCTTATGGTATTAGTTAATCATAAAATATATCTAAAAGTATGATTATGTGAGTGATGACTAAATCCACCAAAGCATTGAACATCTATCCTTTATTTTTTTAACTAGTTGCCAACACGATGATAAATTGGTTGAAAATCTATACTTAATGTTCTTGATTGGTTTCTCTTCCTTTTTTTATGTTCTCATATAGCCGGTTTCATCATTAATTTTTTCTACGGATAACTTCAAATAAGTTCTCCAATTATGATGTGACTTTCATTTACATCCCCAAAATAAAGCATTAAGCAATGCGTACCTTAAAAGTATCCGTGTTGATCCATGATCAGTTTCCTTTCAACAAACTTTTTACGAAGCATTGCTAAAATTATATTTTGGATGTAAAAAATCAAGTTGTGATCCAACTTAACTCAAAGAGATTTTATGTATTATCTTGAAAAAAATGTTCATGAAAATATATCGTTACAAATAGTATGAGCAATATGTTATGAGTTAGATAAGACTGTACCTTATTTTTTGTATTCCGTATATGACAAAACATACTTCTTAACAAGTTTTTTTTTTGTCAAAAAACTAATGATGGGGCAATATTGATAAAGGTGGCATACATTTAAGATAAACTTTCTTAAAAATGATACATGGAGGATGCAAATAAAACTTGCATCATAATTGGGGGACTTATTTTTGCTATCCCTATTTTCTACCAATGGAAAACCAAACATAGATTGGGTCAAAAAAAATATTAATGACAAAAAATGGAACGAGAATGGCGGGTAGCCTGTGGCTCTCGGCCCCCCCCAAAAAAAAAAAAAAAGAGCTGACTTTATCAAGTGAGAAACATAGCCACGCAAACCCTAACAATACGGCATTGTACTTCCAAAATCGTCATGCCCTTTTGTTACCCCTCTCATCATCCTCATCCGTACGTCCTAGACATCCTAAATATATATTAATTGCCTTTGGGGTCTTAAATTTGCTCATAAAAAGAAAACCCACACAAAAAATATTACTCTAGCCCTTCATCTCTTTCTTTTTCTTCTTCTTGTTTCTTCCTACTTTAATAACCTCTACTCCCTCTCTCAAATATCTTAATTTAAACCATCTTCCTTCTTATATGTCTTGTATGGTTTTAGAGTTGTAAAGATGATGTATGAGCAGCGACAACAACAGCAAATGATGAATAGAGTAGATAGAAGGAGGAATAAAGGAGAGAGAACGAAGGTCACGGAGGAAGAAAGGCTTGAAATTGTTGATTTGAGTGGTATGTCTTTGGAGACTCTAACCAATCCTTCACTCAACTTAGCTAATATTTCCAAACTTTACCTCTTCAACAATGATCTCCAGGTACATATATTCTCATGCTGGCCAAGTGAAAAATTTTTGCAGTACAAAAAGAAACCTTTCTTAAGGTCAAATCAAACGAAGTTTTGATTGATATTAACACAACTTTTTTGTTTTTTTGATAAAAACAAAACCTTTTGTTCTTCCTTAATTTGATTTTTTTTCCCTTTCTCTATGGAAAAAAAATCATGATTGATATTATTTTGTGTGAATAGGATTTATTTCTTAATTACGGAGTTGGTGAAATCAATATCGATGATGCCATTTTTAGTTTAAATGTAGTGATTAAAAAATGCCTTTTTAGGAACAAAAGAAAAAGGAAAGCAATCTTACAACAATTTACTTTTTCTATTTTTTTGCTATTCCAAAAATAAGAAGGAAAAAAAAGAGCTTATTCCTTTCGATTTTTCCCCCTCTTTTAACTTTGGAACATATTTCTTGGGCTATATATGAATTTTTTTTCAGTCTTAAGCTTCCTTGGATCCCAAACAATTTTATTTGATTTCTTTGGGTTCTCTCATCTTTTGCTCTCTTGGATCTCAAACAATTAGTGAGTTGTTTTGAGAATAGACAACCATTTAAAACCCCCTAATAGGCAGCTACATATATGTATATTTCATAATTATTTATTTTAGGAAACATAATCTTACATAGAATTTAGAGTAAAATATTTGTTTGACTTAAACATTTGCATTTGAATTTCTCCACTAGCTGGTTAACAGTGGAGGCCAACTAAGAATTTCTGCCTGTATTTGACAGATGATACCAGAATCCTTAACAGCAAGAATGCTAAATTTGGTGGTTTTGGATGTTCACTCAAATCAGCTTAAATCTCTCCCTAACTCAATTGGGTGTTTATCAAAGCTAAAAGTTCTTAATGTTTCAGGCAACCATATTGAGTCCCTTCCTAGAACTATTGAGAATTGCAGGTTTGTGCTTGTTTCCTGATGCTCTTTCTGCTCTTAGAAATATATTATTTGCAGCTGAAAGTTCCTTTAGTTTGATTTCTGCATCTTGCCGTTAGTTTATTCACTAATCTCATCATTGCCGCCTAGTTTTATAATTATGAGCTATGTATGATAATAACGGTTCCATTAATCTTAGGATGCATGCCTTTTTAGAATCTTATTATATATCAAATGGATAGATCATCAATCAGTAAAAATATTTGTTTTCTGGGCCAAAAAAATACATTTATGTTTTATGTTATTTTATTTGTTACAAGAAGGTGCTTAATAATAACTTAAACATGCTTTTGAAAAATATTCATTAATTACTCCCTTCGTTTCGAAAATATTGTTTATATTTTTATTTATATCTTCCTTCGTTTCAAAAAGATTATCTATATTTTTATTTATATCTGTAAAAAAATAAAAATACATATATACTTGTTAAGATGGTACTAAAATATTATAATAATTAATAATTTTCTTAATCTTTATAAAAACTCAAAAAGGTTATTATTTTTTAAACAAAGGGAGAATTTTTTATTTATTGAGAGGTTCGAAGGATTTGGGATTATACGTAATAGAGGATAGTCTTTTTCATATTACATAACAGAAAACTCACAGTTTACTTCACTGAATAAGACTATAAGATATAATTAATCGTTAAACCAAACATATTTGTGTAAAAATATTAATTATTGTTTAAAAGTCTTGAGTGGATATATGATATAGACCTTTGACTCGTACCATTGTGGACGGTGAGGGTTAACAATTTCCTAGAAGTCAAAGGAAATCTCAATGTTGCTGAGAAATAAAATCTAGCAAATAGTAGAACGCATGCAAAGAAAAAAAGGTGGCAAAGACCAATAGAGAGGTAAAGAGCAGATCATGCATGATTCGAGGTCTTGAATCTTTTTGTCTAAAGTAAAGTTTCTTGGCACAATTATTAATCGGTCACTAAAGTTGAAAAAAAAAAAAAAAAGTTTGTGGCACAATTTTTATACAATCTGCAGTGATCGATTGTGTTCAGACTTCATTTAATGATGATGTTGATCATGACGATTTCCCTTTGGAATTAGTTGTCTTTAACAAAATTTCCACGACTCATTAACTAATATTTGACTTTAATTAGAAGATTAAAATGACTAATTGTAGAAGTGGACATGGTATGATAGATGTGTCTTCATCATACGTTGCCAAATAATGCTGTTTCATTTCGTCTAACATGATGTTGAAATGTTTCATTTCCATTATAAAAAAGAAACCAATGTTTTTATGTTTATTCTACCCGTTAAAATCTTATTTTAAATTGTTTGAAATGAGCCGAAATAGGTGGAAATATGTATGTTGATAGTTATTTTATATTTTACTTACTAAAAAGTTGTTTTTTAATTAATTTTTCACATTTTTATTGATTTTATTAGTTAGATTTAATCCAAGTTAATTAATTATATATTTTAAATTATGTTATATTGGAGAATATATAATCCAAATGTAAACTTTTAGACAAATAGACTAATTGATCATAAAATATTTTAAACTTTTATTTTGATTTGAGTATCAAATCTTTTTTTCGATCTACAATTAAGTTATTTTATTTCATTAATCAATTTCAGACTAGATTAAACATCCACGAGAGAAACACGTAGTGTCATAAAATAATAATAAGCGTTTTGTGTTAAAGAATTTCATGATAAGTATTGTTATCTTAATTACTTCAAATATCTCTTGTCGTATGAGATTAGTGAATGAAATGAAAGAACTTAACTGTGAGGGAAAAAAAAAAACAAAAGGTTGGAGATTCAAATCAGTAGTAGTAATAATCATTACTATGATTTCAAGTTATGTTTACATCAAAACCTTGTACTTTAATACCAGATCTCTAGAAGAATTGAATGCCAACTTCAACAAGCTGAGCAGGCTACCAGACACTATTGGGTTTGAGCTTATTAACCTCAAGAAGCTCTCAGTAAACTCAAACAAGCTTGTGTTTCTTCCTATGTCAACCTCCCACCTCACTTCTTTGAAAACACTAGATGCAAGGCTCAACAATCTAAGGTCCCTTCCTGAAGACCTAGAGAACCTCATCAATCTAGAAGTCCTAAACGTAAGCCAAAACTTCCAATACCTTGAAACCTTACCCTACTCCATCGGCCTCCTCATTTCTCTTGTGGAACTGGACGTGAGTTACAACAAGATCACAACTTTGCCAGACTCCATGGGGTGTCTAAGGAAGCTGCAGAAGCTGTGTGTTGAAGGGAACCCACTGATTTCTCCTCCAATGGAGGTGGTGGAGAGAGGGTTGGATGTAGTTAAGGAGTATTTGAGCGAGAAGATGAATGCAGGCCACAAGAGCCCAACAAAGAAAAAGTCATGGGTTGGTAAGCTGGTCAAGTATGGAACCTTCAATGGCAGAATTGGGTCCAAGAAAGACAGAGAAGGGTTCCATTATCACTCCTTCGAAGAAGGTCTTGCTTCTCCTGCATACACTCGGAAATCCCCTAAATACACAGGGAATCGTACCGTTGAAGGCCTTGCTTCTCCTAGATTGCTAGGGATGTTCTCACCCCGTCGTCTATTCTCTTCAAAGAATCTCTCTTAGAATTGCTAGACTGTTTGTTGAATCCATGAATTGTTAGGCAATGGTTAATACGCATAAGTGCTTGGAATCTCCTACCTAGGTCTGCATGCTTTGTCTTATTTTTGGTCTGTAATTTTGTACATAAATATTATGTATCATATGAATGGATACTACCTGTTCCGGGTTTTTTGAGAATCGCATCTAATTCCTATTGTGATATTTTTCTCCAATGAGATGAAAAGTTAAATACCAAAAAGAAGTAAATTATATGAGGTAAAATGAAAATAATAAAATTAAAATAATCGAAACCATATTTTCATTCCAATACTATACTTAAAATATTAATAAAAATCAATATAAAATTCAGAACTTTTAATATCTATTTTAAAACTAATAAAAATAATAATTTTATTAACTATGATGATATTAAAAATAATAAAAGTGATTGTAGCGCTGACGGAGTAGTAAAAGATGAGTAGTAGTGGAATAATAGTAATAATAATAACAACAATATTTTTTTTTGAATTTTTTTTAATTACCACTGCTCCTGAGGAAAACCCATGACTTCGACATACCGCCTAGGGCTATAGAGGTGGTGATAGTGATAAAAATAATTAATACATAATAAATAAAAATAATATGTCATTCTTTTGAATAGAAAAAAAAAACATTCATTATTTTTATTCTCACATCTTCCATATGAGAATAAAACTGATATTAATTTTCATTTCCATTCTCTCTCTTTGTTACTTTCAACCAAATATACTTCAATCTAAAATAAAACTTACACTCTTATTTCTATCTTTTCATTCTCTGTTACCAAACAATATCTAAGGGATTGATCTATCACCAGAAACCATACAACTTCGCTCCTTCCTCCTTACAAAAAGTTTACAGATAAAAGACTACAGGGCTCATTCTCTTGATCCATTGTAAAAGAATCAACCGGTCCAAACAATATAAAGGATCAAGGACAGAGTGATGGAGGCGACTGAGTCATTGAGGATCATAAGACAGTATAAGGGAACGGTATGGTTATGGCCTTATGGGAGAAGGAAGGGATGGAGAAGAAAGCTTGAAGTGGAAGGTAATGGTGCCAACTGACACTGCAATCCAGATATGCTCACCGAATCTGCGGGGGATTGCAAATTTGCAATAGAAGTTAAATCCATGGTATTATCGCTTCTCAAATAAATCCTCTGACCTTTAATATTTCTCTTCTGCTAATACAGTTTTCAAAACCTCCTTCATACTCGCCACTGTTATTATTACTACTCAGACACTTGTCACTGGTTTGCTAGTCTATCCACATAGGCTTGAGCTGATAACTAGACTCGAGATTCTTGAACCTATCGATCTTCTAAGCTTCTTAATCTAGTCTATTGACACATCAATGAGGGTTCAACAGCATAAGAAATGCATAAAACAATATCAAGCACCAGATTTCTACAGAAAAATACTTCACCAAGTACCCAAAAATATTACGAGAAGCAAAGAATTTTGCTGCACTTCGATTCAGCAAAGGAACATTGATATAACCAAGCTATACCTTATCCATACACATTCGATCACCATTTTTGGCATCCAAAATGAATAATTTTATAGATCTATCCATCAAGCAGAATAGAAATAAGTCCACAATCTTCACAAACAAATTGAAATTGTCAAATACTAAAACAACAACCAAGCCTCAAACACAAACTAGTTGGGATCTCCGCTACAGGGATACTTTTGCCCCATTCCGGACGGTCATGCTAAAATTGATCAGATGAGACAAACAAAGAAATTCAGTATAACAATGCAAATTCAACAAAAAAATGCCAAATTATAGACAAGAACAGTAAGCTTCAATCATTTCCCAATTCTGCATAATCGGGAAACAAGTGCTCAAAATTCGTGATTTTTATTAGGAAAACTACTAAAAGTCTCATAATCTACTATAGCACCACAAGATCAAATGAGAATAATCCAGATCATAAAAATCCACACTAACCCCATTTGACAAACCACATTGCATTTCCAAACTACCTTAACCATGTATCCAAAATACATTAAAAAAAAAAACCCAAAATCTCAACGAAGATAACCCGGAATCTTAATCCGAACAAAAAGCATACTCATAACATAAGCAATAACAACAGAGGAAATACCAGCGGCAGCATAAGAAACCTTGACACTTTTGGCCCGATTTTTTTCAAGAGCAAGATCCAGCAAAATAATGCCAACGCCACCAACAATAAACATGAACCCAGAAGACAGCCCTTCAATTATATACTGCCCATTGACTCTCCCAGGCAAGAAAACCACAGGTTTGACAGATCCGGTATATGGGTCCTGGGTTGAACCGATACCAGGTGGTTCAACGATGACGTCATAGACGATGCCGGAGACAACCATGAAGTAGGTGAGGAGGACTAAGGAGAAGACTGTCATGGGGGAAGGGAGAGTGAAGGTGGGGAGTTTGAGACGGAGGCGCGGCGGGCGGAGGAAGGAGTAAGGAAGGAAATTGAGGATATGAAAGAGTGGATCTATGGAGGAGGTAGATGATGGGTCGACGGTGGTCGTGGAAGAGGTTAGGGTTTGGGAATCGGGTTTGGGTGCCATTTTGTGGAGTTTGATGAATCCGATGGATCTTTTGATTTTGCTGAGGCTTGACTCTTGAGAGTTTTTGAGGAAGGTGAGTTTAGGAGTTCTGTTTGTGTTGGAGTTTTAGGAGGTTTGTGTTATGGTTGGGGTTATCCTAGTATTGGTTTGGGATTTTCTTAATCTGATATTGGGTCCATCAATGAGGAAAAGTTTGGGCTGGGCTGGAGTGAAAATTCATTGGGACTTAAATTAAATAAATTGTGGATCCATTAGCCATCATTTGGCAAGAGAAAAAGGATTAGTTGCTTTTCTTTGAATAAAGAAAATAAAAGGACCATAAGCTATCTAAATTCTTGATATAAAATATTACTTACATGATAAGTATTTATTTAAAAAAATTTTCCTTTACGTACTATAAATAAGATTAAAAAATATAAAATTATCACCAATTAAGAATCTGGATAAGATTCGAATTCAAACTTTAAAAAAAAAAAAAAACAAACATTTTAGGTCGGACTAATTTTTCTTGTTGGCTATAAAAAGAATTAGTTACTTGATTCGTTAAGATACTTTATAAATTGTATAAATTAGATAAATTTTGAGAAATTTTAAAACACTACACACAAAAAATGCTAAAAGATATTTTTGATTTTTTTTTTTTTTTTGCAATTATCTTTCTTATTTTTCTATTTTCTTTGTATCTATTTTTTATGAAATAAAATAAAATTTCTTGATAGATCAAAATGTTTACTAAAAAAACGATTAAATAAATTTCTCTTAAGCAAATCACTTGCAAAATTCATAGTCCTATTAAAAATTACTTTCAATTTCATAGGTTTGTTTGGTAAATGAATTTATCACAATTTAGACCTTCAAATGGTCCAACGATTTATTTATTTATTTATTTATTTTGTCGTCCCCACCTTTTGAGTTGCCAAGAAAACGAAATTGAAATTTATTATGGTTACCACAACATATTAAATGACAATTTCCTCATATAAATGAATTTTTCTGAAACGCAGCTCTATTTATCGTCAAGAAATAATGACTTTTTGCATTGGGCTACTTGACATAATGGCATGGCATGATTTGAGCTCGTGGGCCTAAAGAAAAAAACCTTTGACCTTGAAGAGATGAACTTTTTAGGAAAGAAGCACAATCATCAATTGATGTTTAACCGGGAAAGGAAACATTATGGATAGGTGTTGGACTTGGACACCACAATTTTCCTCTGAAGATATAGTTAATTAATTTCTACGTTTTGGTTGAATTATATGATGATCTTAGCATCAATTATGATTTTTCCAAGAATCATTTTTATGCTGCAAAATATCATGCTCTATATATATTCTAATAATAATAATAATAATAAATGAAAATTTCTCATTTATATATATAATGGAGTATTTTCAAATGATTTATCGTTTTTTTTAGCTAAATCGATGTTAGAACATGCTTAATCTTTGATCAACTAACAAATCATTTAGACTAAAAAATAATTATAAATAGTTAATTGTAGTTAGTTAAAATTGAATTTTGATTTTTGTTAAATCAAAATAACTATTTTATCATTATGTTGTTGGTGTGAAATATCCCATGATTCCATTCAATCTCATGTTATAATTTATGACCAAAACATAGTATTTTTTTTTTCAAATTTATTTTCTAATCAGTTATTATATTTTAAATCAAATTACTATTGTTAAAAAATAATTATGATTAACCATACGTACATAATAAAAATTTATCAAATTAAAACAATTTTCTGATCGTGCTATCAAATCTCTCATCTTATTCTTTAACTATTAACTATAGGGATAGTGAATTATAAAATTTTGGGTTGTTTTGGACAACACAAACATCAAATCACTCACCATCGTTTGATATATTGTCAGTGATGAATGGAATTTAGGGGTCCGTGCATGGGCTAGGGATGAATTCTCGTGAAACAATTTAAAAGTTGAAAAACAAATAGCCTGCAAACGTTAAGATATGGATCTGCAGTCACATAGGTTATGATTTTTGACCAAAACACGCCTGAGGCTTATCAAGTCATGTGCTGCCTTGTAATCGACATGGCAAAGAAGAAGCATGGGCCTACAAGAATGAGATGGGCATTTCGGAATCTAGATGAAGTAGTGGTCTAGCCAGAGATCCTTTTGGTTCAATGATTTATTCACATTGACCCTTGTTGTTTAAAATTAAAAGAAATCAAGTCCTCGAGATCTAAGGTTGTTCAAAGTTATTATGTTCTTTCAATTTTGTTTGAAGTCAAATTTGATCATTGACCATTGAACTTAAACCTCAAAAAACTGCCAATTAAGTTGTTAGATGAGGTTTCAATATATAATTATTTAAAACTTACATAAACTTATATTATTTTGTACTTGAACTAATTAGAAAGAAAATAAGATGATGAAATTCGAATTTTCGATTGTTTAATTATAAAGACTATGATATTATGTTAAAATATTATCTCATTTAAAATTTTAAACTGGTTGATAAGATTTTAGGATATAACTTATATTATTTTCTAACAAAAACTATTTGTTTTTTTTAAAAAAAAATGCATGATTCAATGTGACTTAATCATCAAAATATAAGGACCTCTAATGACGACTATTATTATTATAGAATCCAAAGCTTATTAAACTCTTCACAGTTCTTAACCCTTTTTTGTCTCTCTTATGTCTCTAAAGATTTGACTAAATCCAGAAATAGATTTACTTTCTCTGTAGAAATTTTACCTAATTCCAAAAATAACTAATAATATCTACTTTATAGGCGATATAAAGACAAAAAAAAAAAAAAGCAAAATAGTCTTAATGTTTTTCGCAGCTCGGATGTGATTTTCATTCTTTTTGTTTGTCTGTTTTTCTCCTCAAAATAGGTTCTAAATCTATTTTTAAATTGTTTTGAAAGAATTACAGATTTGTTAGAAGAAATACAGAGTTTAACTTCTAACATTAGTATAAATAAATATTGTTAATTATTCTTTGAATATTTTAGAATTTTTTTCGAAATTATTATCTAAGATTCAAATCTTATAAAAACTTTTCGTGGATGGTATGCTTCAAACACAAATTAAAAGGTAATTAAATTAAAGCATTATAAGTTACATGAATGCTAGTAGTTTTTCAATTAAAGAAACCGTTGGAAACAACTCAATGCATACTCCAGCGATGGGTGGTTTGCATGATTGGGTGGAGGACCCCATCAAGAAAACTTTGAAAGACGAGACGAGGAATCCACAGATACGAGTAATAACAGTGTAGGGAAAAATGGGAAAACATAAAAAAGAAAAGAGAGAAACAGGCAAATCAGAATTCACGCGGGCAAGGAAGCACAAAAGACACACACTTGTTCTACTTTTTCACTGTTTGGTCGGTGATTGAGAACGTGAGAGAGAGGAAAAAAACAAAGACCACCTTGATTTCTTCAATCTCTCTCTTTCAGCTTCTAATTTCCGCTATCAACGCGCTCTTTGTATCCCACGTGTCACTCTCTTTGTTTTTTTTTACTGGTATTTTCCACATTTCATTTTTTATTGATGGTAATACAAAATAAAATCCTGATTTGGCAGTTGTCTTGCATAAGCTACTGTGCTTCTTTTTCGTAGTTATCAAAAACTAGAAAATGGGCTGTTCGTTTTTTGAGATTTTATTTTGTGCTGGGAAGTGGTAGCAGACTAGCAGTTTGGACTGAAAACAGTGAGGAATTTGAGTTGCTTAGAGAAAGAAAGAAAGAAAGAAATATGCTTTATAGTCGTGAAATTTTGAATTTTTTGGCAAGAAAGGATGTGAGGAAGATTCTCAAGAGGAAAGACAGTGATGCTGGTGAAAGAGGTAACTTTTTGAAGGAATTTCTTGAGACCCCATTTCTTTATTTTGTTTAAATTTCTCAAAGCTTACTTCTTTCTTTGATTTGCATTGCTGCATGCCACTAAATTTATCAATTCAGCTTGTACTAGTACTAGTCTAGCTCGAATTCTCTAGTTTTTTTCTTTGTTTTGATTTCAATTTTGCTTTTATTTTGCTGCTGCAATTGTTGCTTTTGGTGTGCCCAGTTGGTTTTTCTTGGGTTCTCTCTTATGGGCTTTTGCTCTTTAACTCTGCTAAAGAAGCGGTTGATTTTGGTTTTTATTGAATTAATTTTAGTAAAGATAAAAAAATAATTTTGCAGTTGAAAAACTGTAAAGTTGCCTGCTCAGCTGCTGACAATATGGGTTTTTGCTCATTATATATTTGCCATTCACCGTCAACTTTTTCTTTTTAATTTGAAGGGATTAATCAAACCATTATTCTGCTCGAACATGCTTAATTAGTTTGTTATTTTGTTCACAAAAGATCCTTGCTTTGGTCGTTGGCCAGCGGCTTGCTGTGGAAATGGTGATGGATTTTGTTACAATTACTTGTCTCCTTTAACGTGACTGATTGATCTGCATTTTCATCTTTGGGCTCATCAATGCAGGGAGGGCTTTGGAAGAATTGCGGTCCTCTTTATTTAGCAGATTTCGCCTCTCTGAAAGCTCAAAGAAACATGAGCAACGATTATGTGGCCCTGTCATTGCTCTTACTTTCAACTTTCTGGTTGCTGTTGGCATTATTTTCATGAACAAATGGGTTTGTATTCTAACATTTGCAAATGTGTATAATCTAATTTTATCTGCTTTTTTTATTGCTAAAAGTTGCAGCTTCTTTGAGTTAACTTGATTTGCATTTTTTTTATGGCAGGTGCTTCAAGGAATTGGCTTCCATTTTCCGATAGGTCTTAGTTTTATTCACTATACGCTAAGCTGGGCACTGATGGCCATTTTAAAAGCTTTATCTGTACTTCCTGGATCTCCTCCGTCAAAATCTTCTCATTTATCTCTATTCTCTCTTGGCTTTGTTATGTCCTTCTCTACGGGCTTAGCTAATGTTAGCCTGAAATACAATAGGTCAGATATGCCATTCCTATTTTCAGCAACTGTTTAGTCCTGTTTAAGGTGTTGTGTTTAATATGTTTCATCATTTGTTGTAGTGTTGGTTTCTATCAGATGGCTAAGATTGCTGTTACACCCTCGATAGTTTTAGCAGAATTTATATGGTTTAACAAGAGAGTTTCTTTCTCCAAGGTAGGTTTTTGTTCGTGTGTTTATACACTTCTATACAAAAATACGGTTTACTGTTTGTTATGATGATGAAAGGGTCTGAATAAGAAGGCATTGCTCTTTTTCTTTTTCATTTTTTAACAGATTGATTTGTGGGAAAAAGGCCATTCATGTGGGAACTGGGTGCTTTATAATTTTGATCCTCATACTAAGCAGCATGTAAATTATCAATATGGACTTGTATATGGATAGCATTTGGATTTCCACTTTATTCGGAAAAATGGCTTATCAATTAGCATATTTTTTGTGAAAGTATCTTGGGCTTTGGAAGTGGAGTTTCTCACAAATGCTTTGGTCATATGTCATTGTTACCTTTATGAGATTGAAATCTGCTTTGATAGTTGATTTGAATGGCTAGGATTTGATCAGTGAAGACTGAAGGTTGTCTTTGCTTTGTGTTAGAATCTTCCAATTAAGCCTTGTATCTTTAGGCATGGAACCTCAAGCGACCTATTAGGACATGTGGTACTTGTACTTGCCATCCATTAAATGAGTACCATTACCTGTTGAAGGACTACAGTTGCACCTTCTATGAGGAAAGAATATAATTGGAAATGTGAAATTCTTACTTTGTTTATTTTTTAAAGTCATGCATCATGTTTAGTAAGACAAATACCAAATGTCCCTGCCTATAAACGTATTTGTAAGTTGATTGTGGAAGTTTCCTTCGACATGGCATTTCTATTAGGTGGGACTTAATGTGTGTGTAGAGTGACTAATTTCTGCAGATAACTTAAGTTGACACCATCCCTTGGGTTCTTCCATGAAATTTTTCAGGTGGTTGCACTTACAGTTGTGTCTATTGGTGTTGCTGTGGCTACAGTAACTGATTTGCAATTCAGCCTCTTTGGTGCTTGTGTAGCATTGGCATGGATAATTCCTAGTGCAGTCAACAAGATTCTCTGGTCCACTCTGCAACAGCGGGAGAACTGGACAGCCTTGGCGTATGTAGCATACTCTATCAAAGCCTTGTAACTCCCCTTATTTTCATTTCTTACCACTCTATAGTATTAACATCTTACATGGGTTGTGAAATTGATTAACAGGTTAATGTGGAAGACTACGCCAATTACATTGTTTTTCCTGGCTACTTTGATTCCTTTCTTAGATCCCCCTGGTGTCTTCTCCTATGACTGGAACTTCAAAAACACAGTACTAATTCTCGTGTCTGCTGTTCTTGGCTTTTTGCTTCAGTGGTCTGGTGCTTTGGCGCTTGGGTGAGTGAGCTCTCTTCATTCTTTTTAACTATTAAATGCCTCAGCCTGTTCTGTTCATGGTTGCCAATGGAGTATTTTCAACCTCTTTATTGCAGCACATTACTTATGATTTCCAGTTGTAGGATATGAGGTGGTTGGTCAATCTAAGACTGTTCAAGAAAATGACTTTTACGGAACGGAATCATATTCATTCTAGTTATTGTTGTTAAAATGACTTACAATCAAGTTGGCCTTGAGAAGGCTTCTCATTTTAATGATTTTGCAATTCCTTTGTTGGAGGAAAGAAACTCAAGATTTTTATAGACTGGCATTTAGTGGTTTATCCACTACTGTCCTTTGTCCATAATTTGAGAACTGAAGTTGCAGCCTTGGTATAATTGGGGAATTCTCAAAAATTGCTGAAAAATGTCCCTTCTCATTCCTAGGAGGTCTGTTGCACTTGCACTTGCTTTTAATATCTACCATGTTTTCATCCTCAGGTTACTAATTTTATTTCCTTTTTGAAAGCACAAATGTTTCTGTTTGGTCTCGAACTGACATTATTTCTGTTGCTGTGGTCACATTTTACCGTTTTTCTTAATGAATGACCAACGTTGCTAATCTGGCTTGGTTTTAATTCTCACAAAATATGACTTGGTTTTGTGCATTTTCTGAGGTCTATTTAGACTAGGCTTTGGTAAATTTTCTACGGTAGACAAGAATAACTATAAGAAATTGCCCATAATTAGATATAAAAAATTATAATAATTGAACTAGAACTACAAAATAAAAGAATAAGGATGTTTCTTATTTTAATTTGTCCAAAAAAAAATTCGAAATGCTTTGCTGATTGGTATAACATTATTTTGTAAGGTTTTGAGATCAAATATGTTGATAACTGTACCTCTGCGGATACATCATACCTAAAATCACATGATTAAGTGCTTTTCATGAGCTGGGATTCTGTATTTTCTTGTGATGAAAGGCAGGGAGTATCATGCTTTGGTGGATACATGGAGGACAAAAAATGGGAAGGGGAACTGTTAGGGGTGTGGTGGGTAGATGGGAATGGGTTCAGAAGATTCAGGTAAAGATAATGCCAAAAGGGCCAAGAGGATGATGCTAGAAATTGTGCTTGATGGGCTATATGATTCCATAAATATTGTTTCTTGACAATGGACTGAATGGAATCCATATTGAAGATTTGAAAAATTTCTGAGGAATGTAGAATGAGATTAGCTCTTGAAATTTTTCTCAGAGCCTATTGTCAGCTGCAACACCTGTACTAGTGTAAAGCATAAATCATAGGCTTGAATGTGAACCAGACTTGCTCATGCACTCAAAAGGCGGGCAAGTGATGACAAAGTTTTTCGTATAATGACAATTTTGATTTGTTAAGTACAATTATCTCTTGGTTACCTGATAATGGTTTCTTGTTGCAAGGAATGGTTTGCGCCAAGAAAGCTGTTAAGCATGCTTTACGGTGAAGTTTAACAAAATTAGAGAGGATGTGCTTTATCTAGCAAGTTTTGGTTGGTCAAGAAGCAGTATCTCTATACAATGATTATAGCTGAAAAGAGACTGTTAGAACATAGGTTGAACTACAATAAATGACTGCATAATTAATGAACACGCATGAATCGGTACAGTGGCACTATTGTAAGTAAACGAAGGTAAGGGTATGTAAAATGGTTTGGCCACTTCCAATTTAGACCAATGTATGTACAGGTGATCAAGTGTTATTGCATTCAACTAGTAGGAGTGAAGAAGGGAAGGTAAACCAAAAAAAGTATGACATGAAGCTTGGTCTATCCATATATCCAGTTCTAAATCTCTTCCTAGTTTGCAAACGGGTGCTGGACTAATTGGTTATGCTGTGTTCTAGATATACACTTGTGAGTTGTGAGGCTTGGTGCCCTAACTTATGACCAAGTGTCATTATAGTGAGAGCATAAATTAAAATATTTTAGCATAACCTTAATTGTGTTGGCTTGTTGGTTATGATTACACAGCTGTGTTAAGAAACCATCGATCTTGGAATGGTCTTATAAGCATATCATCATTGTTGGTAGTTTGTCAATTGTGGAGAAATAGGTGTAGTCTTAAAAATATTTGGTACCTGCTTGAAAACTTAGTGCATTGGTGGCTCCAACGACAGCAAGGCTGACGTTGAACTGATTTCAATCAAGAAAGTAAACGTGTTAATGAGTCCTAACTGTAACATGCACCTAAAAGAAAGAGAGTAGGTTATAAGTTCATCTATTTTAGGGAGAGAGAGAGAAATTAGAAAGATAGGTCATGTTCAGATGTAGAAAATAACTCTGTTTTTTTAAATAAATGTCACTACAGAAAATGAAAGATAAGATTTATTTTTTTCCCATTTAGAGAATTAGAAAACATCTTTTGATGTTTTCCAAGTTTCTTCCATTAAATTTTTCAATGTTTTCTATAAAAACTTGTGTTTCCATCATTTTATTTTAGGTAACAAAAGTATCATTTAGTATTTAAACAAATTTCTGAATTCATTCTGTATGTAGTTTCTATTAATGCAAGTGCTTCTTTCCCTTTTCTTTAGGATTTTTAAGAGAATTACAAGTCATGCCAATTTCTTTCATTATACGTTTCCATCTTATATTTGTTTTTTTTATGTTGTTGATTGTGAAAAAAATGACTACAATGTCATGAACAACATCGCTTGCTCATCCATGTAATAGATTACATGAAAATATTTTAAAATTAATTAGTTGATATTATAAGAAAAAAATATCATCAAAAGTTTAATAAATAACCATATATAAGTAAAAAAAAATTATAATTTTTTTAAAAATCTTTTTTTTTAACACGTTTTTCAATTTTCAAAGTCAAAAAACAATTTTCCAAATTTACCAAATGAACATATTTTCTACATTCTCCACAAAAAAAGAAATAAAGAAATAAAGAAAATTAGAAATGAGAGTTAGAAAATGAAATATTATTTTTTACAATTAAACATGCTCATAACTTTTCCATTCTTGAAAATCTGTAAACATTCCTGACAGTTATCCTTCAAAACCCCCTTAACAAGTCTCACCGTGCTCATTTTTGACAAAAAATGGTTTATCACAATATCCATAATGAGTCCCTTTGTTTTTAACCTGTACACAATCTGCCTATAGAACAATCGCTTTACTTTGTGATGATAAATTGCTCATATTTTCATTTCATTATGGGCTTTTTCTTGCTTTATCCTTTTATGTATAAGATCTTTATCCTTATACGTATAAGATGTGACTGATGCATGAACTAACTTGAAGCATGGAAGTCCAGAGCTACATCTTTAAACTAATGTTATGGTACTTGTTAAATCTGAAAAGGAAGCTATGATATGGAATTTGAAAGTATCTACTTGTTCGATGTTGGCTGGATATTTGGTTCTCATTCATTTCCTCTCATTTAATTTTCAGGGCGACATCTGCTATTTCACACGTTGTTCTAGGTCAATTCAAAACATGTGTTGTGCTTCTTGGAAATTTCTACATCTTTGGCTCTAATCCAGGTGCAACCAGTATATGCGGGGCATTCATGGCTATTGCTGGCATGTCTTGTTACACATACCTCAATATATGCAATCTAAAGCCACAGACAGGAAAATCATCGACACAATCCAGATTGAGTAAAGAAAATGGAGATAACCATGATGGCTATGGTGGGGAATCTGTGTAAATCATCTCTCTGAAGATGGCTTATTGGCTAACACGCGACAACAAGTTTTTTCATTTACTTAGGTGTTGCTTCATCTACAAATTGTTTCTAATCAGGGTGCTCTCCATTTAAATTTCCAAAGAGAACTTCTAGAGTAGTCAGCTGACCATGAATTGAAGCAAACCATCTTAAGGGCTTGTGCGTAGATGCTGCTGCTGGTGCTTTGCTGCTCTTAAAAATGGATCAACATTGTATATATAAACAAGTTGGCCAGATAATTACACGAATGTAAGATTTGATTGTTTTTATTTCTGTCATCTGCTCCACCCTTTTGTTGGTTATTATTTTTCTGACTGCTTTTCTTCCATAAAAATCTTTGCCTAAGCAGGATCTGTACTGTACATCATCATCATATGATGCATAAAATTCTGAACAGTTCGCAAACAAAAGGCTTTCTTTTTATGCATCAACTTATCTGTATAAACTCCAGAGAACATGTGGATTTTTGTAGCTAAGGTCTACTAATCTGAATGGATTAATTGTCTCTTTTTTTCGTTTACACGTTTTCTTGTATTGAATTCTGTATTCATGGAAATGACAGCTTCCCAATTGATGTACAGCTCAAGGCACCTTTAACAACTTCTTAATGTTATTTACAGTGCCTATAAAAGATGAAAGAACTATCAATTCAAGTATGAAACTCCTTCAAGATATTACTGTTAGACATGCATTATCTTTTTTCATGGATGATTTCTCTGTGGCACTTGAATGTACAGAGACCACCTTGGGGAGACTTTCATGGCCCAGTCCAAGTCGAATTAGTCACCTAGAGTTGAGCTTGTTACTGATAGGGTACTGGCTTAGGCAGGTGTCCTAAGTTCAAGCCCTAGACAGAATGAAACATTTTTGGACTGTAAAATAACATTTCACTAGTCTAAATTCATAGTCATATGGCTAAGAAGATATATTCTCTCTTTAGGCATCAATTTCAAGCATAGCAGTAAGAAATAAAATTTTCATAAATCTTATCTCCTAATGTGAATAATTTTCTTTGATCAAGTCTGAAAAATGAACCTGATCATCTAAAAAGATGATTAAAATAGCTAGTTCGAGAATACTACTTACTCATAATACTTGAAAAATCATCTTCTGCTTGCACGAGAAAAAAATAATAATGGATATCTCTATATTTGGATCCTGTAGTTTTTATATTCTCTATATATAATATATATATATAATAGAAATTTTTTACTTTAGATCTTTTCGATATAACGTCATCAATCAATCATCGATATATGATATTATAAAATAAAAAATCTCAAAAAATTGAGAATCTTAATCAAGTCAAAAGGAATAGAAAGTCTCAATAAAAAAATTTTAAAAAACTATAAAGTCTAAATGTGAGAAAAAGTCCAAAAAACAATATACGAAGAATATGGGAGAAAAATTCAAATAACAATACACGAAGAATACGTGGAGATTAATTGTCAAGATACAAACCGATAAATGGAATCTTTTGACCTATACTTTCAAGTAATATACATTTTAAATGTATGCTTGAACTAGCTAGACCAAACTTTGATTTTAAAGAGTTGAATTAGGAAATCCAGATAACATATGGTAGGAACCTTGGAAGTTGGAACTGAAAATGTAAGAGATCAAGTTTCCCAATCCTAGATTGATTCGCAAATAAACATAAACTGATTGATGAGACTGAAAAAAGTCCCCACATGGGATAGAGTTCTTGTTGTCACTGGATGCATGGTGTCGGCTTATAGGTTTACAAGAATTCTTCAACTCTTTTTATTTATTAAAGAGTTTGTCTTGAGAGATGGCAGGAATTGGTAGAGAGAACCATGTGCAATGCAGGGTTCCATCCTAATTTGAACTCAGAAAACAAGAACACTGTTTTGGCTTCCCACGTGAGAGTATAAACAAAAACTACATACATTACAACTACGTTGCATTTGTATGCTTTCTTTCCTTCCTCATCAATTTTATCATTTTGATGGGAAACTAAGGAACCTTAACAGATGCATTGTTTTGATCTAATCCTTATCGGTTTATGATTTGTTGAGCTCTCGTGTCGTGTTTTTGAGAAAGTAAATTCAATATAAAATTATTTATGAAATCTAACTTAAAATTTAAGCTTTTGATCGAGATGGTTTTTTAATATTATATCAAAAAAAAGTTAGATCATATCGTTTGAGTCGTATTGTCCTTGCTCTCTTCTAATAATTACAATTAAAAATTATAATTAAAAATGAAAAGTAAATAACTCAATCTATTCCTATATAATACTTTGAGTTTTTTATATGTATTTAGGTTTTTAATTACATCCCATATGTCTTTGAAATTTTTAAAATATTTAATCTATTTTTTTGATCAATTTTTCGATTATTGATAATTTTTTTTATCCAAATGTCCTTTACTAAAAAAAAATCATATCATCTACATGTTTCATTTTTTGAAATCTTTCAAATACTTTTTTTATATTTTATTCAAATATGTTTCGATAAAAAAAAATTATGGTCGAAAAAATTAATCGAAAAGATAAATTAAATGTTTTAAAAATTTTAAAAAACAAACAAGATATAATTAAAAATCTAAAAACTAAAAAGAAAACTCAAGATATTATATAAAGATAAATTGATCTATTTATCCAAAAATCAAATCAGCACAAAATCGACTATGAAGGTTTCAAACGTAAAAAGATTTTACTTGACATGATCCTTTGATACAATGGGTATGAACATAATTATAATTCCCAAGTGAAATCAATTCAAAAGGAATATAAGATAAATTTTGTTTATGTAAAATATAAGACAAATCTGTAGTTTATGTATAAACTGAACAGTCTGATTGATTACTTTGCATAATTTTTTTAATTAAGTTCTTTTAACGGTAGTGGCATGCGGCACTGATTATCTAATGTGTAACTTAATTATCAATTTTTTAATTATAATTGCATGCATGATTAAAGGTGCAAAGTTCAAGAGAAATGGATGCTGATGGAAGCATTTACGTTATCAAAATTACATAATAATAAGATCTGTCTTGCAAAATCAGACTAGACAGCCAAATTTTTTGTCTTGGAACCCCATAAACCTACAAAAAGCTTGCAGTTAGGACAAAAGGTAGTGGAAGAGAGTAGTCTCATTTTGATTTGATCAGTGAATCACATGCCTCTTCAAATTTTTATAGGACAATGTATCCCAACGAATAATATTATTGCATTTAATAGGTAGATCGTGGAATAACTCATCATATAATTATATAGTTAATTAGCCTGTCTTCTCTTGCCATCATATATATATATGTGGTAATCATAAATTTTCATTCATCGAAATTAATTATTTTTTATCATCATATTTTAATTAAATTATCCATACAAAAAAAACGTTAGGAATTTAAAGTTCGAGGAGTGTATAAACATATATCGAGGCGCAAAAGTCATTCATGCACCCCAAAAAAAATCTATAGATTTAAACATAAGTTTTTTTTCTTTATCCAAAAAGAATAATACGTCAGGTAAATAACTCAATTTGTCATTATATAATAATCTAAAATTTCAATATTTTTATACTTTTGTAATTATATCAATTATATCTCTCAATATTATTTAGGTCTTCAATCTGTTTTTTAATTAATTTTTCTGATTATAGACAAATGTTTTAACCAAAGTGCTCCTAACTTGGATGAAAACAAAAACATTTAAAATCACATAACTAATTTTTCTGATCATAAACAAATGTTTTGATCAAAATATCCTTGACTAAAATGAAAATAAAAACATTTAAAATCACATAACATGTATGTTCTATTTTTAAAGTCTTTATTTTGTTTTTAATTAGGGGTATTTTGATTAAAAAAATTATCCATTGTTGAAAAATTGATTAAAAAAAAATAGACTAGAGACTTTAAACAATATTTAAAAACATAATAGATGCAACTAAAAAAATAAGAACAAATAGAAAACTCAAACTATTATATAAAAACAAATTTATCTATTTTCCCATTTGTACATATATATGTGGGTTAAAACTTATATAAATTTTTTACTAATAAATTTCAGATTTCTTATCTCTTTCTAATTCCGTTTTTATGTCTTTTTAGTTTTATCACTCATAGACATGTGATGTGAATTGATATATTCGCAAAAATTTATTTCTTGGAACTTTCACATCGAATATTCAAATGATACGTAGTTCCTTGTCCATCATATATTCCTGCATTTAATTTTAAACTCTAGCATTGAGAGGTGTGCGTTCACATGCAAATTAATTAACTGATTTCTTTTTCTTTTCTTCTTCTTTTTTCTTTTTTTTGACCCTTGAATGTGGCATAATCTTCTTTCCACTTAATTGATCAGTCCAATTAAGAAGTTAGATCAAATCTTATATTTGTTATAAAAAAAACACAAATGGCCTTGCTTGTGCAAAAATGTTGAAAGCCAACAGAAGTAAATGTCAATTTTCAAAGCTTCAAAAGAAGTGTGGATCTTTCCCAACTCCTTAAATAAATATTACCAAACACAACAATTCAAGAATTAACTAACAAGGATCGAGCTACAAAGTCAAAGCTAAGCAAAGAGCTACATTGGTGTCAGTGTAATAAGCTCTCAAATACATAATAATTTACCCTCTTTTTCTTGCATTCTAAGCCCTAGTATATTGCTTAATTTCTACCTATCTAACAAGTTCGTAATGTAGCAAAACTAAACAAATAATAGTAACATTGAACAAAGTAAAGACAAGATGCAAAAGGTATATTAAACCCACAGATCACATGCAGATGATCGCACAATGTTTATGTCTTGCTCGAAATCCAATGGCACAAAATTTTTCAGCCACCTTATACTATCATCCATCCATCTTAGTCTGACTTGGATTTGCAGTAGTATATTTTTTCTTTGCCTTGTTTTCCTGGAAGTCAGACCCCAAGAAGCACATAATATAGTATTGTAATGGGCAAGGCAATCAGCATCCCAAAAATAACCCTGCAAAAAAAAAAAATTATAAGTAAGATTAATCTAATTAGTCCATTAATTTCTGATGCATTCATTCTTTTTCACACAGGAAGAATGCTAATTTACAGGGGGAAAATATTCAAAATCGCTTTCCAAAAACTCTCAACATCGACATTTTTTGGTAGAAGTGATTCTGGAAAATCTTTCTATAAAAATGGCATTCGGATTTCGGATTTTCATATCATAATGGTGGATATATAGCTAAGACTTTCTTGTGATGTCAAGAAAACTTACGCAGTGCTAAGTATGTCTGGATGGACGTTGTACTCCTTGGCAAATACAAAGGGAACTATACCTTGGGGAAGAGCCGCCTGTGAAAAAACAATCAGAAGATAAGTGATCATCTTTTGCAAAGAAATGAGACATTTATTTTTTTTTTTTTTTCTTGAATGTACAACAACAAAGAAGATGCTAGAGAAAATGATCGAGGAAATTAAGGAAAGTTTGAGAAAATAGTTTTCTTTTGGCTAGTTTTGGCCATGATTTATAATTCTATAATAATTGAAGTTGAAGCTACCTAGAAATCTGGATAAAGCTTTCATTTGGATCACATGAATAATTCATATTAGTTTTAACGTTAAGATAGTCCACCTGAACTATTGCAACATGTAGAAGAACACCGCGAAGGCCAATAGCAATTGAGGTAGCAGCAATCACAGCAGGGCCTGTCAAAAACCTCACTGCCATAGCAAAAGTTGCCACTGATTTTCCACAAGCTATGATTTTTGGTTGTAAAGCCATGAATAAACCTGTTTAAGCAAGAATTACTTGTTAGACACCAATTATTATTTTATTTTTTTCCGAGCAAGTACTTAAATTAAATTATATTTGAAGGTAAGTAAGTACCTAGACTGAACATAGCCATTCCTAGACCTGCATCTGATAATATTGATATTGATCCACTCACAATCGACGGCATCTGGATGTGCCACCTGAAGATAAGTTGAGTTTTTTCAGATTTCAGATACAACATTGAAATTGCAATGTTAGATTTCAGGTCGTGCAATATTTAGTTGCACTTTCTTGCTGGTTTTATAATCTAAACTTATCGATTCTCGTGTGTGTGTGTGTGTGTGATTGAGGGCAATTTAGAACGGAAAGAGTCAAGGAAAAGATGTTTCGTACCTATATGATACGAGAGACCATATAACACCCAAAAGGCTTGAGTAAGTGTTCGGGTTTCTTATCAACTTCCTCCAGACCATGATAAGGATGAGTCTAGTCATGACGCTTGCAGGAGGCATTTGGTGCTTTTTTGATCCATTTCCTTCCATATCCATCTTCTTTTGGCAAGTGAAGGGAGACCCATTTTGTGGAAACTTGCATCCATCCTCTACATCATGTTCCTTTTCTCCATTCATTTTCCCAGCAGGGCTCATGTTTTCAATTAATTGGTTCATTGCTGCATAAACAGAACAGGTAAAGTTAACCAAGATAATGCAAACAAATTAAGCAGGTCCAACGTTTGTTTCCATGCAATAACAAGGAGACAAATATGGTGGCAGGTGGGGAAATGTGGTAAAATTTGCTCACCTTTTGAAGCAGCAGATTCATGTTGAGCCCCGAAATCAGTGGAGGCAGCTCTGTTAACTGCATGTCTCAGATTTCCTTCAGAAACTGGAGATGCACTTGAGCTCCAAACAAACATGTGAAGCTCCTTGTTAGGCATGGCACCAGTACCACTTTCCTTCTTCTTTTGGCCACCACTAGTAGACCCTGCAAACATTGGATTCGGAGGTGGATATGAAGAAACTAAATTGCCACCATTAAACAATTCACCACTCATACTTCTCCCTCCTTTTTTATTCCCTAACTTCAGCATCTCCTCCTCAAAATTTGAAGTTCTTGGTGTGGCTCCTTTCGAAGATTGCAAAGAGTAGACATCACCAACTCCTCCTTGGAAACTATTTGTGTATCCATGTTTCGGACTTGCGGCCTTGCAAGCAAACATGGAGTAAAAATCTGTTTGATTGAAGCTTGAAGCTCTCGGTGTTGGCTCCCGGGAAGATTGAACCGAGTAGATCTCTACGCCAGTAAGATTCGAAGCTCTTGGAGTCATTGAAGTTATTGAGTTTAGTCCATGAGACTTGTTAAAGGAAGACACTATTGATGAAGCACTTGATCTTCTCACCACCACATGAAGCTTACCATCATCTCCAATCTCAGCATCAGCCTGTAATGGTTCCCGGCCGTTGAGAGAGACAACATCAGAATCAACTCTGAAAGATGTAATAGACCCGGCCGTTTCGGGGAATTGCTCGGAGATTAGTAACTTAGCTCCTCTGTATTCAAACATGAAGAGCATGAGAGTATACCAAATTACACTCTGCAAAACCACAATTTGAACCATAAGAGTCCCAGAGAAGTCTCCGTACATAGCTTTCAAAAGAGGGATCCCCATGACAAGAGTGTTTGGGAGAGTAGAAAGGGAGAAGAGAGTGATCATCCATTCAAGATTCCCACGTTTGCTTAAAGCTTGCCAAATAAAAAGAGATCCAAGAATGACAACTTTTTGAAGACAATCAGCAGCAATGAACCTGTAGTTCATAGCATAAGGATCATTCGATGATATAAAATGGAAAGACAATAAAGGAACTGCAAAGACTGCTACAAAACGGTTAATGCCTGAGCATTGATCAGGTGTAAATATTTTCCACCATCGAACTGAGCCATAGGCTAAAATCATAGCGACATATAGAGGCACAATTGCTGCGAGAACATCATAAATGTCCTTGCCAGTGATCATTGTTAATGGCTAGAAACAGAGAGATTGTGAGGGTGTGCAAGTGGGAAGCTTGTGAGAGAAGGAGGAGGTTGGGGAGTGTTCTAGTCTTCAGACTGATAAAAACGGAAACATGAGTAGAGAAGCTTGGGAGGCTTGTTTCTCTTCTCAATGACGAAACCAAATTAAGGGCAGGGAAGAGTAAATGGTTATTAGCCATGTTTATAAATAGATTTTTATTCAGCTTTTAAAAAAGCCCGTACTTTTTAACTTTTTTGCATATATTTAAAACAATTATTAATTATTAATTATTATATATATTTTGCTCATATTTTTTTTAAAATATATATATATATATATATTATTTTTTTTTTTCTTTTGATTGTTAGTCATCAAATTGCTATGAAACCAATATTAATTAATTAAAGGTATTTTAAAAAAATATCACTTAAAATTTTGACTAGATAAATATTTTAGAACACATATATATAGAAATACAAAAAATTTCTTTGGGACAAAGGAAATATTTTTTTTAGAGACAACATTACATTTTAAAAAATAGAAAGAAAAAAAGAAGATGGTCTTAATTTCCTTTATGTTGGGTAAATATCATAATTCATAACATTAGCAAAATAACATTCGAAGCTCTCTTTTTAAGGGTAAGAATATTTTTGGATACCTTATGTGAATAAAATATATATATATATATATATATATATATAGTTTGAATTTATAGAAGTCATTTAAATTCTAATGGGTTAGTCTTGTAGTTAAGAAGGTTTGCTTCCTTTATTAATTATCTATAATAGAACCTTAAAAACAATATATAGAAGAATTTATTAAATTACTTTAAATGTACTAAGCGACTGTGAATAACATATTCATAAAATCGTTTGACAAAACAAATTAATTTTGATTGACATACAAATTAATCCAACAAATTCCTCATCATTGAATTAAAAAAAAAATGCTAGACTGATCGATAAAAGATTATTATTATATTATTATTTTTATTATTTTTATTTATTTATTTATTATTATTATTTTTTTTTTTTTGGCCCTCATCATAACCTCCTCTAAACAGTGACCTTTTTTCAACCTATTGAGAATGACACAATATCATACTTTGGGACCAGATTTCCAACTACTTAATGTTCGTTCATATTTATATATTACTATCATATACTTGATTCAATTTAAACTATAAGCAAATGGGAAAAGAAAATCGACAACAAAAGAAACGAAATCTTTTTAATTCAGGCCTTGTCCCATATGGTTAGATAGAAACGATTCTTTTTGGTACAAAGATAAATAACATAAGGGAGATAATTTACTTAATCAAAGACTTATTGTATCCTCTTAATTAGTGGGTTAGATTTAGATTAGATTAGGGTCAGATTTACATGCAGAGATGATTAATAAATTGCAAACAACTCAAACTATTCGGCATTCTACTCGTTCATGCACATGAGTTAGGCAATTTCCTGTAATATGCGGGAGAAGGCAGGATCTGTCAAGTAGCATAAAATAATGCTTTGCCGGGACTTGGGCCATTGCCAGTAGCTGTCTAGCTGGTGTTCTTGGGCTCTCAAAATTTTTGCCCTACAAAAATTAATATTTAAACAACTTTGGATTATAGAATATTTGAGATGCAGATGTTGGTGTTGGTGTTCTTACAAAGACGGTGACGATGACGTATCGATCCTCTTCAAGAATCTCAACAAATTAGCCTTTTAGTTTATAATTAAGGAAAAAAGAAAGTTGATCCTAGCAATGGCCTCGAAAATCCATTTTTAAGTTTCCAGGTTCTGTGATAAATCCTAGTGTTGAAATTAAGGAACCAAAAACTAAAGCACTTGTATGCACGAACACGTTTTTTATTGGATTTTAAAAGTTAAAATTTAGGATTTTCTCTTAAAAATTTTAAGTTGGAATTTAAGAAGGCTGATTGGTTATTAAGTTTTGGCTAACACTTTTTTTTTTTTTTTTTTTTGAGGTTCATGATTTTTTTATTGATCCGCAATTAAGTTCTTTCTTTCCTATTATTCAATTTCAGGTAATGTGAAAGACATTTGAAATTATTAAAACAATAAAATATATTTAGAAAGTTTTAAATATAAGCTTTGAGATTGATTAACGGGATAAAAAAAACTTAATTATAGACCAAAAAATATTGAAGACCCAAATAAAAAAATAAAACTTTTCACCTATTAATTAATAATTCACAATACTTTCTAACCAATTAGTCATTGGCCATTTAAGGAAGTTGATGAAATTATTAAAAGGGGTTATTCGAAACCCTCCATTATATTGACAAATCTATGCTTATCAGATTTTAAATTTATCTTCATACTGATGCATTCACAATTTTTTTTTAAAAAAAATTATGGCAACCATAGAATGTCGATTGTTGGGAGCAAGCCCATACAGCTAACCTTTTCAGAATCCAATTTTATTTTTCCTCTAGATAAATTAGAATTTCTGATTACCGAAATGTACCTAGCCCAAGATGACCAGTGGCACAAAGCCATAGAGACAAGGGCCCAAATCCATCTTGGCAGACTATCCAACTCAGAGAAACTCCCGTACTTGAAACCAAAGAAAAAAGTAGAAGCCAGCCCACAACCAGTGGCAAAAATGTAAGAACTGAATTGCAGGCAGAAATATTGAAACTCATATCGTAAGAAATGTTCTCAAAAATACATATAAAAAATAAATTGCAAGAAAATAATATTTCCTAAAAATTCATCATCTTTGAAACTCTGAATGAAAGACATTTTGCAAACATAAGGAGAATCCTTTAATTCTTCAACCGATTTCCTATACATGGATGGAAGAACTAAAATTCATATATAGTTCCAAACGCATAGCAGAGTGGCATTAACTTCAGCTTATTTAGAAGGATTGCTGAGGCCAAAAAGAATTAGCATCGATCACCGGTCTACTCTGGAGAAGGAAAAAGAATAAGATGATGACTTCAGTTTCAGTGATTGGAACTTTTATTGCTACTCCAAAACTACTTTAGGACACAATCAATTATGAGTAATTATTCTCTCTCAAATATTGCTTTGTACAAGGGTGCTGCTCACTTCTCATTGCCAAACATGTTCTGGTTGCTTACAAATATATTACTCATAGATTATGGATAGATTGATCTAGTAAAATTAAAAAATATGGTTCACATAGACATCCATAGTGGTCTAGCGATTGTAGAGAGTGATGAAAGTTCTTTTTGTGCCACGTAGATACAAAACAAGTCTTTCCGATTAAACGAGAAACCCTCTAATAATCAAATTAATAATCAGAAGGTAACGAATTTAATTGAAAAAACTCTTTTGTATTAGTATATGCAAGATACAGAACGTGTGTTAAGAGTTTCTTTTAGGAATTTTTTTCAAACCTCCTTCTTTGTTGTGGTTTAAACTTTTATATAAATAATTATAGGTATAACTTATATGATAAAAAAGATAAAAATGTTTTTTTTTCTTTGAAGCTAATGGATGAGTCGATAAATATTGATGCTATATTATTATTATATTTAATATACGACTATATTAGTGCGATTCTAGTAAATAATGATCTGATTGATGTTGTAATCGGAGAATTTTTAATAAGGGTATTTTGACCGAGGTAATTTGCTATTCTTTCACCGCTTTTCTTAACGTTTGCCTTTGAATATTTATATTTATGGTTTTATTTTTTATTTTAGCACTTTTCTTAATATATTTATTAGTTTTCTTAAATTTTTCCGACCAAAAACTTTTGTAGTTCATTTTTTTTTATTCTTAAAACTTTTGGAATCTAATAACTTTTAGATCGATTTAAAACTATTAGTTTATTTGAATTTTTTTAGAACCCTGATTTTTTATTTGATCTTCTTTTGATCAATATTTATTTGACCTTTTTTTTTGTTTATCTTAACCATCATTCTCTGACTAAATGCATGTAGAGCTTTGGTCCAGTTTTGATTGTGAGGTAATTACTGCCTCCACACGAAATCTGTCATAAAAAGACATATTAATCAATAACAAAATATTTTCTTAAATTAAAAATTAGCTCAGTTTGTTCTTAGGCTAGGCATCCAATATGTTTTTACAAGTCCAATTGATACTAATTTGTCCATATATTTCAAGTCATTTTCAAATCTATCATTGCTTAAGAAACTTTAATCCAATACGATTCATTATAAGGAATATTTGAAAAATAAATAATAAATTTTCATGTTGTATTAAAATTTGATTTTTTCATATTATTTATGTGTTTTAATAAATCATGTGGGATTCTTTAGTTTTTTTCATAAGAATATTTTTGTCAATTTGAATTAAAAATAATTATATCCAATGACCTATTGAAAGCGATTAGACATATAAAAACATATTAAGAGACACCATCTCAAATATAAGAACAGATTCAACTTTTAAAAAAAAAAAAAATTAACCTAATTAATAGCTTCCAAAAAAAGTGTTTTTTCTACTTAAGAGGAATTATATATATCTTGAGCCCAAGTTCTTGTTACGGCTGGATCGAATTGCTAGTGCTCACACACATTGGATCTTATGCGTCATTGTCCAGTCGAGTGTAAGCTTTTTTTGGTATTTTCGTTGAGGAGACCAGCAAGTCCCAAACCCAAATCCTTTTCTTCTCTTCAATTTTTTTCCTTATGAAACAACAACGAAAGTCGAGATCAATAAGAACCCAATTCTTTCATGGGTCTAGCCCAAATCATCTACCATCATCATCATAATTCTTTGCTTCTGATTAAGCTAATAATCAAATAAATCCGTAGGTATAACTTTGTTGCTTCGCACTCATAATTTTTTTTTCCCAAAAGTAAAAGTATTTCTAGACCAGTTTATGCATCAAATAAAAGTAATTTTTTTCTTTAAATAATTTTAGAGATGCACCGTCAAATCGGCCTGGTGTATTAATTTTTTAAGATGTTGACACCCAAAATTTAAAGATAAAAAAATCAAGATAATAAGCTTGGTATACGCGGAGGAATATTATAACTTTCCTTGAATGTT